AACACCCCCCCTCCCTAATTGCAACAAAGCCTCCTCCTGCAGCAGCAACACTGGAGCTACTTACAGACTTCAGGAAATAACTGCTCCATTCATTCAGCAGCTTACATTTGCAACCACAGGGATAAAAAGCTTCGAACTCATCTTCTAAAAATAAGGTGAACAAACATATGCCTGCAAACAGATGGGTGAAAATCCCTTGTTTCCAACAGAAGTGCTAAAAAAAAAAAAAAAAAAAAAAAAAAAAAAAAAACAGGAAGGAAAGATAAACTGTCACAACTTCCCCACACAAAGATCTCACTCCATGTGGCAACTAACCCAGCATGTCACAGGAATGCTTCCCTCCCACCTCTTGTAGTTCATACACTCCAGACAAGCTAATCTAATGCTCACGTACAACGCAGCCCAACGGTAATTGAACAAACTCAGAAAAAAGCCTGTAAGATTCTGTACTGTGCTACACACAAGGCCCATTCTTTCAGTTATCCAAACCAGGCCTGCAAACTTTCTGCAACAATCCAAGCCTTTGCTATCATCCAAGGAAAAACCACCATAAAAATGAACGAATGTCTTTCTAACCCCTGGCTGACTTTATCAGGCACTGAAGCAATTGTCTGCACTTGCACACACCTCCCTCCTGCTTTACAAAGGTGACACCCTGAGAAGTCTGTTTTGTATTATGTTTCCTGTAGTAGATGAAATGCAGCAATAAAGGAACAGCCTAAAACAACATGCAAGTTGTAAATTAACATTGCTGCTGTATTTGCTGCTCCATAAATAATTTTATGACAAGCATATTACAGTTATTATACAACCGACAAATCTGAGATATGAGAGAATGGGCCCTCAAAGCATATTTACAGAATACTGGATGCAGCATTTTCTCTAAATAAAATCTCATATAGTAGTACATCACAGCCAGTTTTGTAAACCTCAGCTGGCTTACAGAATAAACCTTACAATGCTCCCTACAGAATGAGTGAAAGATATGCTGATAGTGATCACGAAGCAGCTTTAACTTGTTCTCCTTCAGCAGGGAGAACGATGTGTTTTTCCCAGCCCGATACACAAAGGCCACACGTTGTTTGAGCTCTAGAGTTATGAATTGTGATGTTTGTCAGGAATAACCCAGAGCTGGCAGCTCCCGATTCACAACCCTCAGTTTTTAAAATGCCTCTGAGAAGGCTCCATCTTGGATGAGAGGCAAACCATAAAGAATTCAGAGAGGAGGTTTAACTGGATGGCAAAAAAGAGAAATAATTCTTCGAAGAAAACTGCCATCCATCACTTCAGTTCCATGGGGTACGGTTCCACAGCAGGTGAAAGCAGTGTCAGTCACAGCTGACGTACTCCTGTTATTTATTTCTTCCCATACCGACTGCACAGTCCCTTCTCACCCTTCACCTAAGCGACTGGGCTGCGTCAGTTCAGGGAACTGAAGAGGCTGAATAAAGAACCTAACAATAACAAGGCAATTAGCTCCCAGCTGGCTCCTGTCAGCAGGTTCACTCACCACTGTGCCGCACCAGCACAGAAGAGGCAAGCTGAGACCAGAGCAGATCCCTTTTCTGCTTCCACATATCAGCACTCCACCACCCCTGCTCCCTGCCCTACATGCAGCAAGACCCCCTGGCCGGCCAGGCAGACGGCACCAGAATCTGCTCAACTTTGGGTTCCAACCTCTGATACACCCCTGCTGCAGTCGGTGAGCTCTGCCCCTTCCCCCTACTCAACGGGCTGTTATTCACTGCAATTCACTGTTATTCACCGGTAAGCTCAGCTGGAGCACTGCCCTCCCATAGGCGCTGGAAGGCAGAGGAAGCAGATAACCACCCACCACCTGCCTCCCCAACACCCAGCCCCTGGGTCAGTGCTAGCTGTCACTGCAAGGGGTAGCACTGCAAGCTGCCTGCTGCATTCAGCGGGTACTAACAGTCCGTTGGACAGGACTGTGCTGCTTCATACATCTGTGCTGAAATCAGTAAAAATTAAAGAGATGTAGCCTATCTAGTGAATATGCAATAACCACAGAATCCACAAACAAGCCAGATCATCTCCTTAGCACCTCAGCCAGCATTATCTTAAAACCAGTAGCTATTGCTGCCGTAGCCACTTGCCAGTGACCTTTGTATCTGCACACACAATGCTGATCACTCAGTCAGCTTATAAAACCATTAAGCACTATGCTTCACATCTAAACCATCACTCACACCATATCTTCTTGCCTGACACATGTAAGCCACGCCACTAAGAACCACATTTTAAAAGCAAGGTGCTGTAAGTTGGTATGCCTGACCAGGTAACTACCTCCAGACCATTCCACTGCAGGGTTAAGAGAGACACCCATTTCAATTCAGCTTCCAGGATTTGCTGTTCCCACAGCCAGCAGCCAGGTGATGGGACACTGTGCTGCTGACAACCTTCCCAGACATTTCAGGCCATCTCTCCCAGCCCACATAAGTGTTACACAGCTATTCAACCACATGCCAAATCGAACCAGGTTAATGATGTGAGTATATCAGCCCAAATTTCTAGATTTGCCTCTTTTTGCCTCTCTATTTGCAGTACTAAATTAAATAAGTGTTTAAGAACACAAACGTGAAAAGATTTTGGCCCTTAATTGCTTTGGGTTTCAAATGTAGTTAGCTAACACAGAGAAGACTGTTTTCACCATTCTGCAGGATTCATTTATAGTTGAGAAAATGAGCAGAGCTCTGAAATGCAGAAGTTCATTTTCCTCCTTCAAACTTGCAAAACACAAAACACACATCTCATTCCAACCTATCACATTCAGGGAAGAGGGAGCAATTTCTCCCCCAGTCGTAAGCAGCTAAAGACACATATAATACCTCAAGGATTTTGCAAAAGGCCTTTAAGCAGGTTAAGCAATTAACTCCCATTTGCTTCATTCCCACTGATGTTAAGGGCAGACAAGCACATAACCTTCTAAACCCAACCAGGGACTTCTGCACCTGGTACCTGCACAGTAATACCAAGTATCCGCTGTAACCGACAGTGGCTTAAGTCACCAGTTTCCAGCCATTTTACATCTCTTTCACTTCTTATTTTTATTCAAAAGCAAATCAACAGGTTGCAGTAACATCATTCAACTTCGAGACCACCTTCCACTACCACTGACTTCATCTGATTTCAAAAAAATCATTACCCAAGTAAGGTAGAACAGCACAACTGGTCTGATACCTAGCAGCTCCTTGCACTGAACAGCCTTTCCCACATTTGCATAGCTAGTTGCATTACATCACACAACACTGAAGATGAGCAAGTGGGATGGTTATTTCCCAACATTATCAGTTCCTCACTAAGGCCCCAACACAGCTGCAGACAGCTACCCCAGCACTACAGGAGCACTGCTGCTGCTGCGCCTCTGAAAATGAGCCTCCGTGCACAGCTAGAAGGTCTCACAGCTCCCCTCTGTCAGAAGGAACATTTCCAACATAGACCTGTGCATGGAGAGCAGCCGCAGGAGGATGAGCAGAGCAGCAGGCAGGTGCTGGCCGCAGGAAGCAGCACCGCAACGCTCAGGTCTCACAGAATGGCCAAGGTCGGAAGGGACCTCAAGGATCATGAATCTTCAAACACCCCCTGCCAGAGGCAGGGCCACCAACGTGCACATTTAATACTAGACCAGGCTGCCCAGGGCCCCATCCAACCTGGTCTTGAACACCTCCAGCGACAAGGCATCCAAACCTGTCATCGTATCCTCTGGGGGCACGTTACCAATGAGAATTCACTCTTAGAGAAAAAGAACATCAGTCATTCACTCAGAAATCAAGATGACTGCTGATTCGGTTTATCTAGCTGGCTTACGATTGAAAACATTTAATCAGCTGTCAAATTTCAGAATTCATTTGCAAAGGCGAGCATGACTAGTTGGAAGCTGGATGTTTTTCATCCCTTGCTATTGTATGTTCCTCAAACAACAAAGCTTTCTTAACCACGAAGAAACTGCTCCATCGAGTCTCCCTTTAAAAGTCTCAGCACCACACCCATTGCACCCGGGGATTCCTTCACTTATTTAAATGCTAATTGCTCCTCATGAGACTTCAGCTCAGCTCACCCAGGACATTTTAACGAGGCCGGCTTTTCATCGTGTTCTACACCAACCGGAGACCCGGGGGGTTTGCATATCCAGATTTTAAATCTAGGAAGGCCCAAGGAAATCAGTAAAAAAGAGAAGTGAAGGACCAAGCACAATAAACCCACAACACCTCATCTCCACTCGGTTATTTCTGCTGCGTTTTAAGCACCGAAGTATGGCAGATTTCACCTTCTCTATGCAAGCACTTCTCTGAATGCAGCCTACCAGGGTAGAAACATCCAACACTCATCCTGCAACTCCTCGTGCTCAAAAACATCACGACCGCACCTCCTTCCTCCATACCTGTTACTTTTTTGGTTCAAGAGGTTCTTTTGCAAACAACCACTGGGGATTAAACGTGGGTGTATCTGAAAAAAAATTCTAAAAGTTTAAATTAGAAAAGTAAATGGATGCCCGCCCACTTGCTTCAAAACTAGTTACATACTTCTACCACCCAGCAATAGGAAAACAAACAAATAAATATACATACTAGGAAAAAAAAAAACACTCAGCGAGGCAATAGAAGAGGTCTGTTCCAAGCTTTTGGAAACTGATCAATTCTAGCAGCCTTCCAGAAACAGCAACATGAAAAACAGACATGTTAAAAGCATTAATATTTTAAGGAAATTCTTTTTTTCCCTCCATACTCTGTGCTTACTACAAAGATACAAACTAAAGGAAACAAGCCGTGAAACCTTTGTCCAACCAACAAGGATACTTTCAACAACAGCTTTTTTGGCTTTGGCTTGACTTTTTGGCCTACTCTTGGCAAGTTCTAGAAGGATACATTTCAAAAAGCTTTGTAAGAAGCCTGCCAGGCCCTAGTATTTAGCACAAAAAATGCTCCATCTTAAAAACATGAAAACAAGCAGGACTTTTACAGCAGGAGCAGTACAGCACAGACCTGGCACACCATCCCTCGATGCATCCAGACAGAGCTGCTCCTAACTTCCCTTTCCATCCCAAGGCAGACGTAGCACAGCCAGCCCAGCTATGAGAGCGGCTGCACCAGGTGGCAGCACAATGACGATCACCGAGGCTCCGGACACGTCCTTGCAGTTCTGCTCCCGAAAGCCTCCCTTCTCCAAGGCAAGCAGATGAACGCTCCCTCCCCGCGTACAGCACAGCTTACTCACGCAGATAATGACACCTGTTTGGCAGCACGGAACGTAAAAATATTACATCCTCTGCTCGTTCTTCAAAGCCTGAGGAAGCACTACTTCAACGCCGATGTCCTCAGCAGCATCTTCGCTACCCAGAAGCACTGGGTAATGAAGAAAAGAACTGAGGAGCTCGCGGGCAGCAGTAACCAACGGAGCGACCACCGGTGATGTTCTACTGCCAGAGGCGACTCGTAGAGCCTGCCTTACGGCCACACAGGGCACCGGCACCGCCAGCCACCGAACGCGTGACCTTCACAACAAGTTCCTGCAGCAGCACCTCATTTTCCTCTTCTATTTATAGCACGTGGGGACAGGAAACAGAAAAGCGCAAGGCAAACGAGCCTGCAGACGACAAAACCACTCAAAGCGAGTTCTGACCGATCGCTGACCGCTCCAGCAGCGGGCCGGGGCTGCCGCTCATCTAAGGGGGGCTGCCGCTCATCTAAGGGGGGCTGCCGCTCATCTAAGGGGGGCTGCCGCTCATCTAAGGGGGGCTGCCGCTCATCTAAGGGGGGCTGCCGACAAGGGACCGCACCTCCTGCGCGCGTTTCCTGCCCGGTGCACGCCCGCTCACACGCTGCAGTGCCATCACACGCGCACATCTTTCCGCACCTACGTGAGACTTTCAGCGTCAAAAAAAAAACAAAAAAACAAACAAAAAACCGGTAAAAGCCAAAAGCTGACCCCTCCTCCTCCCGTTCGGTTTAATGATCAACCCCGGGAGATCACAGGGCCGCTCTGCTCACCGCGGCTTTTTGCAGGCTGACAAATGAATCGCGAGCCGCACTTTGGCCGCGATCGCAGCCGCTAAGCCGGCGCCCCCTCCCGGCGGGGCACGGCGCGCCTCGGAACTCGCCGAGCGGCTCCGGGCCGAACCCGCGGGGACCGCAGCGGCGCCGGCACTGCGGCAGCGCAGCGCCCCGGGTTTGACTGGCGGCGCCGCGCCGGTACCGCGCGGAGGGGCGAAGCGGCCGCGCGGAGGGGAGAGGCCTCAGCCCGCCCGCCCCCCCCCCCCGCCGGAGGATAACCGCCCCCCGGCCCCGCTGCGCGGCCCCCCGCCCGCACCTCGCCACGCCGCCGCGGGGCTCCGCCGGGGATCGCGCCGCCGCCGCCGCCTCCTCCACCATGCTTCGGCCCGGCCGCCCGCGGGTGTGGGCCCTCCGCCCCGCTCGGCCCCGCCGGGGGAGGCTCCGCACCTGAGGACGCCGCCGCTTCCCCTGCTCCCTCCTGGAGAAATCACGGCGGCGACGCGCAGCGAAAGGCCGAGCGTGGCCGGTTGGAGGAGCGCGGGGGAGGCGCCTCACTTGTTGCCGCCCGCCTCCGCCGAGGCGGCCGCACGACCCCCCGCGGCTCGAGCACCACGGGCGCCGCCGCCCGCTGCAGCCCCGCCCCCGCGCTGTGGGGGCCGAGTGGGGTGCGCGGGGCGGGCTTGGTGGGGGGGTGGAAGGGGGTCCCCGCGCCCCTTCCCGCCCTACCGGTCGTCTCTGCGGTTGTCGGATCGCTACGGCGCCCTGGAGACAGGCGGGCGGGCGGGCGGAGAGAGCGCGGCGCCACCTCGCCGCCCCCCTCCCGAGCTGGGCGCAGCCTTCGCGCTGCGTCCGTCTCTCTACCCCGGCGCTCTGCCCCGCCGGTCCAACACCTCGTCGCACCACCCTGGTGCCTGCCCGCCTGCCGCGGTTCCCTCCCCCACCGCCATGATGCCTTTCGACACCTCATGCTTTTTCTTTAGTAAAAACCAGAAGCCCTCAGAACGGGTGCTCGGTGCCCACAGACCGCCGGTACCACAGACCCCAAGCCGCGGGGCCCTGCCCGCCTCGGGCGCCGTGTTCTGGGGCGGGAATGAACGTGCTTCTGCCTCGCCTGCTTTGTTCACACGAGATGAGATTTCACCTCCTTCCTGCAGCAACAAAAAGGGGTTTTCTGAGGGATGCAACTCCTAGGAACAGCTTTCTGCAGTGGCAGCCTCTGTCAGTACGGCTGCTGACCAGGGCGGCAAAAGCTCCTCGTGACAACGTGTATTTCCTTCATTCTTCTTGCTGCGCAGCACTGAGCGAAAGCCCCAGGCCGTGCTGCAAAGCGCTGTCACACAGCACGTTGTTCAACAGGTTTCTCCTTTCTAAACGAGAAGGTGTTGCATTTGGTTTACCAGATGGCCCGCAAAACTTTTGCCAGATCTTGGTGGAAAGAAGAAAAAGAAGGGTTAGGTCAGCAGTGCTTCCCTCAGAAAGGGAGCTCCTCAGAGCTCCACATTCTGGAAATCTGCCCTCCGGAGTTGCTATGAACCATGCGTGACTCACTCGTTTGTAACCCTCTTTTTTTTTCCTTGTTGCTTGCTTACCTATTTGCCAAGTCGATGAGACTACAGATCCAGGCTGAGCAGTCTTCTTAAGCGGAGAAATCTCCAAGCCCCTGGATGTTTACTGAAACAAAACAGAGATGTGAGCTGTTACGGCACAGCCCTCCATCCTGTCACAGCAGACCGACAGCCTCCAGCAAACAGTTACGACTCCCGGGGACTGAGAGCCCCACATCTTTTCGTCCTGTACTGAACCAAAACGAGCACGTGCCATTTGCTTCTATTTTAAGCACCTGCCCTCTCAATCCACTTCATGGAGGGGCCCAACCAAAGCAATTATCTCAATGTCACCTGGCACCGCCACATGAACACGGCCTGCGCTGCAAAGCGGGAGTCTCCCCAAAAAGAACGGTTTATGCATCGTTTATACAAAGGCTGGTGTGGTTTGGCAAACAACACAAGTCCCTGCAACACCTATGCGGCTCCCCATACTTGATACCTTTAAATGTTGGAGGCCATAGAAAACCTGCAGTAAGTTTCATGGAGAAGTCTCTTAGGCTGCTCCAAAATCTTGTCCAGGAGTCTGAAAGACATCTGTGACGCGTTCAGAGGGACAGTGCATGTTCCATTCTTCTTCAAATATTTATAGATATGCCTCATGTTTGAGTAAAGCTGACGTTACTGGTGAAGTAGAAGGATTACAGCAGAGGGAGAAATTATCCTAAATCAGTAAGCATTTTTGTCCATTAACTAACACAAGGCTAAAAGGAGAATTCAGCATCTGGCAGTCAGGAGCTCGGCTCCACTGCAAGGGAGTTTTCATAGCAATATGCTTCAAGATCAATTACAAAGAAAAAAAAAAAAAAGGGAAAACAAAAATGAACCAGAACAGTGTGCTGCATAACGCTAGGAGCTAAGGAGCCTGGAAAAAAACACTGAAGCTGGAAGGTTTGGGCCTTGGACATGTGTGATGGCCCACTGTCTTTGAGGAAGGACATTTCTCTGTCCTCCTGCTCCCACACCCACAGCGCTGCCTGCATTGCACCGACACAGCTGGTCATGGGGCTGTGTTGTGAAACCTCGCAGGGAGGTGATGGGGAGGAAGGGTTGTGCAACCCAAATGCATTCTCCAGTGCGATTCACAGCCAAGCCTCATCAATGGGCTAAAGGGGGAGAATACCTAGAACCGATCTTGCCACCAACACAGCATATTGTCGTCCTACTGCCTAACTGCAATGCCTCTGTTGCGTTTGGGACAGCTGCACCCTAAAAACCTGGGCAGAGGGTAAGGCAGGAGCTCTTTTTCCAGCCCCACTCCCCTGAATGCAGGCAGCTCGACCTTCCCCTTATCTGCACATCATGTGGGGCTAAGCATTGAGCTGGGAAGGTTTCTTACCTGGCACTGCCAATGAGTTGGTCTCAGCAGGAGTAAGAGTGAATGCAGTTCTCTCCTGGGGCTGGGGCAGCAGGGCTTCAGTGCTCCTCAGCTGGCAGCAACTGCATGAGAACCGCTCCCTGCTAAACCGAAATCTCCTCTGTCAGTCATCAGGTGTAATACAATCTCATTAGCAAAACAAAACAATCCCACTGAGCAGCATTTCCCTCTGCTATGCCCTCCCTTCAGGCTTCATCCCCTTACCCCACATGCTCTTGCTGGGGACAGGACACAGCCCTTGTTTAGGGGTGAGGTGAGCACTGTGGCTAACATGAGCTAACCAACCCCATGGCAAAGTGAGGGGGAGGGAAGCCCACATTCAGCCCATGCCAAAGGCAGTCTGCTTAATTTAAACTAGCCCCCTTCCTTCCTAGCTGCCTGCCCTAGCTAGTGCAGCATCATGCTAGGCCCACGCCAGCACCTGGTATTGTTTAAAATGTCTTGGTCACTTTCAGATTTATATTTATTTGATTTTACCTGTATCTTTTTCCCCCTTTGCAGCATGCCCTGTTGCTTACGGCCACACAACACAGGAGAAAGTCGAGAGAAGCCATAAATCCACCTGATCCCACACCATCCAGTGTCATGACCTGATACAACCTTATCCACTAATTAACGGGAACCAGTTCCTAACAGCTCCTAGACATGCTGTTCCCAGGCTTGCTGTCATCATTGGTATTGTTCTTTTGAATGCACATATGCAGCCTGGCAGGGCCTGCTGGGGAAGAGGATTTTATATACAGCTGTTGAGATCAGTAGTGGAATGGCAGAGTGATGACTAGCCTTATAAAACACACTTTTTAAAGCACTGATGATGGAGTAGATACTAATTATGCCTGCCAGCATGACTGCTGGGGAGTGCAGTCCCATGGCCACCTTCAGCACTCGTTTGCACAAGGCAGGATGCAAAGTACAGCATTTGAACTCAGTCCCAGTTAAGTTGTCTTCTGGATAGTTGAGTGTGGTTGGGTAAAACTTAACAAAGCTCTGAAAAATTAGATATTAAAATTGTTCTGCAGGATTATCGTGTTTTAGGTCTGTATAGCTGAGTTTTCTTCTTACAATTAGAATAGTAAATTGCTGCTTTTTTTTTTTTCTTTTCTCCGAGAAAGAGAGCAAATGCTTTTGATTGCAGCCATTGTCAGTAGCAGGTACACACTTACATTTAGTTAGAATCAGGAATAATTTTTTTTGCCTACGTATCAAAAACATCACCTTCCCTCACCATCACCATGTGAATTATTCAATGCAGTGTACGGCACTTGGCAGCAAACTGCAGAGCATCAGACAGTTCTCACGGGATGGTAATGATGAAGCAGTACATCCAGGGCACTGGAGCTGCGTCAGTGGGTGACACTAATCCTTAGTGCCTGAGCTTTTCCATAGCAAGTGTGATATTCACAAAAGCCAGGAAAGAACATTTTC